TTTTGCGTCTATTCAGCAACAGTATTTTTTCAGCCTGAAAAACACCTCTTCTCTTCCAAAAGAAAACTAATACAGGAAGGGGAGCAGAGCAAGGGGTTTTCCCACTTCACAAGCGATAATTCGAAGAGAATTTCACCTTTTAGTAGTAGCTTTTCTCATTACACTTTGAGATACGTTACAAAATGTTTGTGCTTTGTGGGTTTGTCTGAGTGTAGAAAATCCTGAAAAATCACCTGGATAATCAGTAATATTTGATAGATGTGTAAGTGGCATTACATATGAGGGTAATCCTAAAGTCTGGGTGGAACCCTATCCCCAACTACTTACACAAGTGCCACCTTAATTTTGTAGGGACTGGATGCCTTCAATACCCATGAAGTCTTTCTCCTCAAAAACCTGCTCGAGGAATGCTGCACTGCTTATGATTTTCTGGTGACTTAAAACATGAACCTGGCGACCAGGAGACGTGCCCAGTTCTTGGCTTTTCTCCAGCTGCACATCAGTCAGCTCTGCTGGCTAGCAGCTGCCAATGCATGTAGCTGGTGAAGTTCTGTTCACTGATATTTGAAAAGTTTCTTTTCATTTTTATTAAATCCACTGATTGAGAGTTAGTAATGCTGTCGTATTTCTTTGCTCAACTTAATTCAAAAGCTTTTTCCATGTAGTTTCAGTTTTTCTTTGTGTTGCTGTTTCACCTTTGTGTAGCAGCTTCCAGTCTTGCTGGAAAAGTCCCTTTGATTTTTTTTGCACCACTCCCCTTTTTTGTCAGGAGTTGCAGGGCTCTTTTTAAATTTTAATTCTTCATTAGAGAAGTAGTATATGGCGAACCATGTTCCTTGTGATGTAATTTTTTTTCTTCTTCTTTGACTGTTATGAATTCAGATGTGCTTTTTGACCTTTCAATTTCCCAAGAGTGTGGAGGGGATTATAGGGGTGATGATAAGCTGTGTGTATGCTTGCTGAGGCTTTTTTGTTGATGTTTAACAGTGTGCAGTAATAAAGTAAGCTCACATTGTTTGCAAACCGAATAGTGTCAACCGAAACATCTTTTTACATGGGCAGATAAGCAAGGACTGATCTACATCTCATGCCTTCTCTCGAATCCTAAGCCTGTTACTCCATGGGCAGATCTATGAAGAAGAAAACCAACTAGTCTCTTAGACATATATGGAATAAGGCACAAACCAACCTTTAATTAAACCCTTAATTTAAGGTAAATACTTGCTTCAGAAATAGAATTCGAGTAGAACAGTACAAGAATATGGGGAATCCTGAGCGTGTCGTATGAATGGCACTTTCTGAAGAGAACTCAGTAAGGAAAGTCACTATAGCCTTTTCCACATAGGTATGAAAGCCGTTGTTAAATCATCAAAGACAAGATAAACCTCTTTAGTCTGTCTCTGATTTGTCTTCCTTACTTGCTGTTGTTGAACTGTCATATAATAATGTCAGTTAGGTTTTGGGTTTTTTTATATGTAATTGCGGACAGATATTTTAGAGTTCCTTTATAAACTTTAACTAGGCCAGGTGAATAAAAATTAAATAATCTTCAATAAGCAGTGTTGTTGAACCTGGTCAGTGTTGGGATTTTATCTGTTAGCAGAAATGAAGTTCTCTACGGAATTTTGACTAGTCTTTTTATGAGATTAGAAATTTTCCGGTGAGGATGTTATTAACCTAAATCATGAATAAAGATGTATTATATATCCAAAGAGAAATTCCTAATATAATAGTGCAATTCAGTGATTGGTTTTCTCAAGGAGCATGTCAATTCTTTGTTCCTTGTTCAGTATTTTGCAGCCGTTTTGCATTTGAGTAGATCTTCAATTTTGCATGAGGTATGGCAGAGGGGTCTACTTACACTTTAAAATATTGATAGAGATGCATGCAAAATTCCTATAATTCTCAAAACATGGTTTAAAAGAATATCATTTTGCTTTGCTGTTTGAACGAGTAAAAGAGCTCAGCATGGTAATTTTATAGATAGTAAGAAGTAATTAACTAGTGGAGGCAAAAGTTTCTTAGAGCTTTGAATGTACTGTGTTGATGAAATGTGATGAATTAGGGCTGATGATAATTATAATAAACTTGAGCAATGAAATCATGAGTATTAGAAGTCTTCTGACTCCTGTACTCACATTCTTAAGCTGGAATTTTCATGTAACTATTTTGTTCTTAAGTTTGAGATTTTTATTGTTGTTTCTTTTTAAGGAAATGGTATATTTGCCTCTAGTTTTTTAGATTGCTTCCATTTGTGTTTGACAAATGGTTTCCTTTTCTGGATAAGCAAAAGCAGGTGGAATATATGACTCTCTGCACTTTGACATAAAAAACTTTATAGAGCTTTCTTGAAGTTCTTTAGTACTGGGGGGTTATTCTAGGCCCCTGCAAATGTATGAATTTTCCAATAACATGGTGTTGTGGATTTGACCTTGACTGGATGCCAGGTGTCCCCAAAGCCGCTCTCACTGCCCTCCTCAACTGGACAGGGCAGAGAAGAATACAACAAAAGGCTTGTGCGTTGAGATAAGGACAGGGAGAGATCGCTCACCAATTACTGTCACAGGCAAAACAGACTCAGCTTGGGGAAATCAATTTAATTTATTACTAATCAAATCAGAGAAGGGTAATAAGATATAAAACCACATCTTAAAACATCTTCCTCCCACCCCTCCCTTCTTCCCAGGCTCAACTTCACTCCCAGTTTTCTGTACCTTTTCACCCAGAGCGGTGCAGAAGAATGGGGACTGAGGATTGCGATCAGTCCATCACCTGTTGTCTCTGCCGCTCCTTCCTCCTCAGGGGGAGGACTCTTTACCCTCTGCCCCTACTCCAGCCTGGGTTTTCTGCTATGGGAGACAGTCCTCCACAAACTTCTCCAACATGAGTCCTTCCTATGAGCTACAGCTCTTCACAGACTACTCCAGCCTGGGTCCCCTGTGGGGTCACGAGCCCACCCAGCAAACCTGCTCCAGCCTGGGCTCCTCTCCCCACGGGGCCACAGGTCCTGCCAGGAGCCTGCTCCAGCGCGGGCTTCCCATGGGGTCCCAGCTTCCTTCGGGCATCCCCCTGCTCTGGTGTGGGGTCCTCCCCGGGCTGCAGGTGGGGATCTGCTTCAGCGTGGGCCTCCGTGGGCTGCTGGGGGACAGCCGGCCTCACCGTGGGCTGCACCAGGGGCTGGGGGGAATCTCTGCTCCGGGCCTGCAGCACCTCCTCCTCCTGCTGCACTCACCTGGGGGGCTGCAGAGTTGTTGCTCTCACATATTCTCAGTCCTCTCTCCCAGCTGCTGTTGCGTGGCGTTCTTTACTCTTTCTTAAATATGTTATGACAGAGGTGCTAGCAATGTTGCTGATGGGCTCAGCTTTGGCCAGCGGCAGGTCCATCTTCGGAACCGCATGCACTTGGTCTTGCTGGAACTGGCTCTGTTGGACATGGGGGAAGCTTCCGGCGTCTTCTCACAGAAGCCACCGCTGCAACCCGCCAGCTACCAAAACCCTGCCACGCAAACCCGATACACGTGGCCAATTACAACATGAAAATCAATGATTACACTTGGTGTTTCTAGCACAGGCTCACCTGGAGTGTAAATGGGAAGATAACTGTGCAGTGAGTTGCGTTGATTGACTTGTATTTTTCTTTGGTGTTCATTTTTCATGTTCATTTTAAAACTGTAGCTTTAAAGAAAGAAGAAAAATAATTTCATTCCTTTTAAATTTACAGATAATTTCACCCCTTTAAGCTGCAGGTCTTGACACATTCAGAGTATTTTCTGTTGGCTGTCACACTGGTGTGATTACACAGCAATACATACTCCCTGTGAGCTGGATAGTAATGGAAATGTATTTCATCATCTTCTCAATAATCCTTATTAAGCATGCTGGTTTTGTTATGAAGCAGTAAGTCATGGCTCCCACCGATGTGACATGGTGATATGAGAATTGGTAACTTTGGTCTTGAATTTTTCATATTCTAAACGATCATTGTTGGTAGTGGTCTGAGTTCCTGAAAAAGAGTGTTATGGAAACTTCATTACAGCTTTCCTAAAAATAAACAAAAAAAACCCCAAGCAAAACCTTTTTAAAACTCCACATACTTATTTTTGTGAATTTAAAAATGCTGTGTTACAGCAATTTTTCATTAATTAATTTTAGAAATTTGGTGTGTAGATTACTGCATTCATGTACAAGTTTATGCAGTACGTAAAGTTTGCTTATGGACGTCATGTTACTTTTTGTCATTGTTATTTCTTATTGCTATTATTTCTAGTTCCTTGAACGAGAACCAGGAAAATGTCCCTGTAGTGCTAGGTATCAAACATGTATGAAGGGGTCCCGTTCTGTACCAGACCTGTGCTAGTGACATGGCCAAGCTGGATGTGCAGTAGTGGCAGCACACATGGGCACCCAGGCCAAGTGAATCCAGTAACAGCAGCAAACAGGGGAGAAGTGGATAAAATGAAAGGTACAGGTGCAAAGATGTCTCTACACAAATGTAGAGACAAACAGGCTGTGGGAGTAGAGGTGGAATACAGTTTCTTTGTGAAGTTTATTCAAAATTCTAAACAGTCTGAAAAAGCCCAAAGCATTGTTTCTCTCATTGGATCTTGTGTATGACTGCACTTTTTCTCCAGAATGGGTAGTTGAGTTTGAAGGACACCCCTAGGTTAGGATGGTCCCATTTTACTGTATCTTCTGCTACCGTGGGTTCTGGCATTGTGTTTCATTAGCCTGATGCTGCGTAGTTGCACAAGGGGCATTTCAATTTTATGCAGTCCTCATTTGTTAGTGAATATGTTAGTGATTTTAATAGGTTTTTTCCCTGTTTGTTTTTTTGCTTTTAAAATTGTAATATACCTTCATAACTATCAATGGTAAATATTATGTTTAATGAACGAAAAAAAAAATTTCTACTTTCCATCATTTATCATTAACTGATTTTGACTAGGAAGTTTTCAGAGGAAAGCCAGGATTCAAATAAAGGCGATGTATTCCCTCTACAGGATTTATGAACGCATCGTTGATCCCCCAGAAACGAATTTGACACCTGAAATCAATTTATGGCTCGGACAGAGAAACAGGAAACACGGTTTCTTTAAGGTAAGCAGATATGAAATGGCACATGAAGAAGGAAATGAATAAATAGTCAACAAGGTATTTCTGATTAGTTGTCTTACACTTCTGAAAACTGATTTCTATGAATTTTAGTAGAAACTGTGGACTTGGGATTTGAGGCAGGTCCAACACTTAGAGAAAAGGGTCTTCTCCTGCAAGCTGGAGTGTCGTAGTCACTGGCTGCAGTGCCCAGTATTTGAAGGTTTTGTTTGGTTTCCTTACTTAAGGTTTCACCTACCTGCTGTGCTCTGCCTTGCCACTTCTGAGGACAGAAGAAGACTGTGTAGGCAGCGTCAGAGTCTATTCTTGGCTTTCATCTTTAAACCTTCATGAAACAGCAGCTTTGCTGTGTTCTCCTGGCCAGATAGTGGTGGTCTTAATCACTCTTGGAGGCCATTTTCTCCTCAATTTCACATGCAGAATACCCTCACCCTTCTGCTGTTTGCCTCGGGTGACTCTTGCTTGTTTGCCCTTGTCAGCCTTGACTTCTAGAGCAGAGGTCTTCTGGCCTGCGATCCTTCTGGCTTTGGCAGATACTAGCTGTTATATGCAGTGCATTTGCCCTACTGCAAACCAGTAGATTTTTCTGTTCCTGGAGTACCCTCCCTTTTTTCTGTTTTTCTCAACTAAGCGTGTCACTGTGTTTCTCAGCAGAGAGTGAATAGCAGGCCACTAAGTTTTCTTCATGAGCTCCTTTGTCCTTTGGAGCTTCCTTTGCTTCCAAACAGCCCAGGCTGACAGGCTTGCTGGCTGGCAGGGCTCGGGTTGCTCCTACCTTCTAGCTGGAGAGCCTGTCTTTTTCCATTGGTGAGGCTCCCCAAGACATCATAATTGAGTCGGCCAGTATGGGCATGAGGAACTTTTCAGAGGGAAAAGAGGATTCAAGTAATGGCAATATATTTCCAAAATTGCAAAGGCCAGAGAAATGACCTACAACTTGAAAAGCCCTTTCCCGTATGTTTTCTTTCAGCTTTTTTTGGCCCCTGCTAAGGCTATGTGATTTTCTGGTCGAGGCTGAATTGCTGAACGAACTAACAAACAAAATCCACAAACAAACGGAAACCACCCCCTCCACCTGAAAATTAAATCTTTTACTTTGTAAGCAAGCTACAGAAAAATTTCTGATGTTTCTTCCAGTTTTGAATAACAAGCCATGGTGCAAGTGTTTATTAATGAAAGAGTTTGTAGCACAGTGATAGGCCAGTCTGCCTATCCTCGATATTGGCATGGATTTGTTGCCAAGGTGATTTACGACCCACTCAGTTTCCCTTTGAAGCTGTCAGTTCATAAGACAATTTTACAAGTTGCTGTTTTTCTGAGGGCCTCTCCTCGAAGTCCCAGACTTCAACAAGCTAGGACAATTATTTTATGCTAAAATTATTTAAGTGTAGCAACTAACAATTTTAATTGTGAAACAGAGGTAAAAGCTAACTTTTAGCTTAAATGACGGTCTGAGAGTTGCTCTGAACCGAAGAGTACATTTCATCCTTCAGCAGCTGAGCTGTCACTGTGAAGTGAAATTGATAGTATTATTTTATTCTACAGCTGCTGTTTTTTTACCTCAGCTGCTTCCCATAATTCCACAGATGGTAAACATATGTTTATAGCTACATAGGAAAAAAAGAAGTTATATTGGATTCGCCCATCTTAAATTCTTATTTTATGCAGGCAGTCAAAGCCTCAGAACTCTGGGATATTATATGTTTGTAAATTAATATTTCTATGCGTTAACACTTTGGAAACAGCAGGGTAGCTAATGATATGCTAATGAGCTGACAGTTTTTATTGATCGTAATGAAAGCCGACAAGTGCCTTACTTTGCTTTATGCATGCTTGAATATTTTACTAACTTTCTTCAGGGCACAAATATAATTGGTTGTATTTTTTAATCCTGCTTGAGAGTTTTAGAAATCTTACCTTTTTTTTTATTTTATATTACTTATTGCAAAAACTTGGGATTTTGCCAGTTTGTAAAGAGTACACATCTCTTTCCATATATTTATATGCTCAACAGGACCTCCCTTTCTTTTTCAAAGCAATTTGTTTCACTGTTTTAACATATTAAAAAATAGATCTATTTTCCTTCATGTAAACAGAGATCTGCAGGGAAATAAGAGCATTAAAAAAGAATTAGCATTTTTGTATGTGTGGTGGAGCCATGATAATATATGTAACAAAAAGCACTTGATACTGGTCTGAATATCATCTTTGCCGTTCCAAAAATTTTCTTACTTTAATGATAGTTATTTAATTGTTGTGTCTCTCCATAAATGAGTAACATTAAAGCATATTTTGGGCCATGTTCTTATGCCTATTTTAGGTCATAATTCTTCAGTATATCAGAAGAGGAAGGAGGGGGTATGATATTTATAAGTCACTGTGGCCAGTTGCTGCCATTTTTCTTATTTATGCTTTTGTTCCACATCCTTACTTACAGTGATTATTCCACGACTAGCCCTGCTGTGTCTGTGGCCTTGCTGGGGAATGAAGTACTCTATGGCATAATCAAGGGAATTGAAGTCTCGCCCCTTACAACTAGTATCTCTTACTAGTTGTAACTTAGCTGCTATGACCAAGCATTTGGAGTTCAGACAAGATGGAATGGTTACAGCACAGCACTGGTGGGAGCAAATGCGGAGCAGACTTAAGATAGCTTTGTCTGTTTGCTTTGAAGGGAATCTCATGAATTACTTCCTTCAAAAAATACATGTTGACCCTTCAGGTTTCTTTGTGTGGCCCAAACCCAAGATTTGTTTTAAGGCTAGAGAATACCATTATAATCAGATTAGGAAACCAAAGTAAATGTGACTGACAGGAAGGAGAGAGTGATAGCAGACATCCAGGGAACCCTCACTCTAGGATGAATCTGATTGCTGTCAGGATCAGAATTATCTGCAAAATCATTTTATCGCTGGGTAGAACACTTCCCTGTAACCTCCTCCCAAAGAGCTGCTGCAGAAATGAGCTTATTAATGCATTGCTGACTAGTTGATTCATGTCGAAAGGCAGTAATTTTCATATCTGCTATAGCAGGCTGTATTGATCCTGCTGCTGTGTCTGGGGATTGTACAGTAGGTGTTTGAGAAGTATGTTGGTTATTTTTACTGTACAGCATCATGTGTGTACTTGGGTGTCTGTAGTCATTCTGTTCTTGGAGTTGTACAGACTAAGGTGAGGAAATGACAGTGCCAAGGACAGCTGTTCAAGAGCCTGGCATGGGGCATGCCTGCCCGGTGTAGAAGAGCACAGTGCTGATCTGGTGGAGATCTGGTGGTGTTGGTGTAGCATTGCCTAGACACAGGGTTTCGGGCATGTCTGCTGGTGCCTTCGTGCAGAGCCTTCCACCGGCTCTGGCCAATGCAACTTGCACAGCTGTGTGGCATGCATTACCTCTGTGGGAGAAGTAGGTTTTAAAGAGGGTGAAAGGCAGTGGACGAAGTGAAAGTGCAGAAGCGGAGAGCTCATGAGCCTTTTCACAGAATGTGGGAGGAGTCCCCTATTTATAATAGAGACATGAGAAGAGCAATAAACAGGGGTTTTGTATTACATCCTCATGGGATGGGCTTGATATTCAGTGCTGCAGGCCTGAATTTAATCTTGTAGCTGGTAATCTGTCTGCACAGATGAAGACTCTTCAAGCTAGTGAGTCCTGAGGCTGAACTGAAGCTTTGGCTGTAATTAGCCAAATGCTTTAATGATAACATAAAGGTGATGTTGGCTTGGGAAGGGAAAAACTGGGAAGATTTTGGCCACTGACATCTCCTTATTAAGGCCAAATCCTGATGCCCTTTCACACAATGTGGACTGAAGAACTCCACTTTGTGCCAAAGTGAACCAGGCCCTGGGCTTTCCCCGGGAGCTGTGCATGCCTAACTCTTCTTCTGGCTATGGTCACAGAAAGCTCTTGGCAACCTAGACTTAATGCCGAAGGAGGAATAATCCAAGTTCGTTCATATGTGTTACAATAATTATGGCTGTAATAAGTGTTTGCCTATAATGAACTCTTTCTATTAAAAAAATACATCAGCAAAATCTCTGCTCTTTGAAGGTTCCCTTCTATATTTGATTGTATTAATTCTGTTTCAGAGGGTTCATAGACTTAGAGGGCATCTATATTGGTGAATTGAAGTTCTTAGTTTTTTCCCTGGTAATGTGCTTTCATGTAGCCAGAAATTAAGACAAAAAAAGTGGTTGTGTTTCCTCTTCAGGTTATATTTAAATGCAATTCTGTCCAAAAGACATTTGAGCTGTGGGACTGTGATGCAACAAACGTATGCAAAGTTCAATATGCAGTTTTAAAAAAAAGGCTGAGGAAGACATCACTTCTCTCTGGATGATGTCTTGTTAGCTTTGTGATACGGTCTGATGAAACTTTGTAATCTCATTTACTCTTGGTTGAGCTTTTCACTGGAGAGACTTAAGCATTGAAATATATTTTTATGTCTCACTTTCTAATTTCTTGCTGATGACTGTGAGAAGAAGGTATGTAAAATGGCTTTCAGGATGTTCCATTTCCAGTGACAGTATTACTTCTCATTATTATGACAGTTTCATTATTCTCATAGATGAAAAGGTTAATAAATGTGTATAGTTCTGTAAGACAGACTGTGATCTGATTATGTCTATTAATATTTTCAGTTAATATTTGATCAGGAAACAGTAGGCAGGAAACAGTGCTTGCTGATTACCTTCTGCTGTTTTAGCAAATGAACACATAAATGTTAAATGTTACTTACTGTACTTGCCAGGCTTCAAGGGCTATCTGAGGCCTCTATCTTATTTACAGATGGAGTTCAATGTTTTGAGCCAGTGACTATGTACTCAGTCTGCAAAATTCATTCTGTTGCAATTTAACTGAAAATTAAAACATAGTCTTACAAATCAGTAATTTAATTAGATAACTGCCACGATGATAAATTTCCTTTCAAATTAAAGAAATTCTTCTGCGTCTGGGAGGAGAAAGAACCATGTCACAACATCTGATTAGCAGTCAGGGAAAGGGCAAATAGGAGCACTAGAAGTCCCTTGTTTTCCCTTGCTTCTCTCCCTTAGTGACTGTGATATTATTAGAGCTAGTGGATCTTGTGGAGTAAGTGTGTTACACAGCCAAAGATGGAGCAAGAGCTTTGTACTGAGCTTAAAAGAACAAACACAAGCTTCAGCATTTTCTAGGCTATTTGAAGGATCTAGGGTTCTTCAGGACCCAGGTGTGCAGGGGTACTGGGCAACCCTTCCTGTCTGCTGCTTCCGTCAGGGCTATCCTTGCAAGTCAGGGACAACAGAGGATGCAGCCGGCACTGGACCTTTTGTTCCTTCCTCTCTCCTGCCCTGCCCGATTCAGTTTCCAGGCTTCATACAACCTGCAGTAGCTGGCTCTGACCTTGGAGTCCTGATTTCTGCCAGTCCTGCATAGGGGATCTGTCTGGGTTAGCGTGAGGATTTAATTCTAACTGGTGGCACGATTACATGAACTGCCTGTTGAGATACAAAGCTAGCAGGCTAAACTAAACCAAACAACAGAAGTGTAGATGCTTACTTACCTCTTGCACGATATACTTCTGTTTTCATAAAGTTTGATTTCACAGTCTTACTTGGCTAAATCTCTAAAGTGAATTGGTGTTTTCTTTTTGTCTTTTGGAAAAGTGTGTCATAGGCTGGAATAACGGATATTATTTCACTGCTTTTTCACCAGTCTCGCCCCATTTTAAGACATTTAAGCAGCTTATATTTGGTGATTGCAAAAGACAAAGCAGTATTATTTCTGTGTTTTATGAAAATTAATATCCAAACACGCAGGAAGATAGGAGGAGCTGTTATATTTTTGTCCACCTTCTTTCCTCACAAGAAGAGTGAACTGGTCAATTTTTTTGTACCCACTTAAGAAATGACTTGTGAATCAGCTCATACAGGTCTAAGTGAATGCTTGTAATCTGTATTACCAGTTTTCTCTTCTTTTACAAAGGGTGTTATTCAAGATGTGAAAGTCATCTTTATACCTAATGGATATATAACGCAGTGTCCTAATCTGAATCGCAGTAAGTAGCAATTTCTTTATTCTCTATATTTGAGATTTTTCATACAAATTACTTTGTCTTAAAAATAATACTTTCAGGCTTGTCATTTTTGCATGTGCTGACTTCCAGAACGCAAAAATTCGTTGTAAACAGATTGCATTTTATGTTCAGATAAATCAAGTCTGATATACTGTTGGTTATTTATGGGTTATTGTGTCTTTTGTTCTCTTCCTTTCTGTTTCGTTTTACTCTTCCTTTTTTGAGCATGCCCGACCTGCAGTGATTTCTTAAGTCTGGTGCAAGGAATCATGGATTTGCAAGAACTCCTGGCAAAAATGACTGCAAAAGTAGGTACCTAAGCTTCTTTGTCAATTGTCCATTTCCTTCTGTGCCAAGACCAACATGAAAGTATTTATTCCTTTTGCAATTATTCTACATTTTCATGGTAGAGCTATTTTTTTGCCTCCTTCTGCCAGTAGCCCTGTCTGCAGTGGGCTTACAGATACAGCTTCACAGATGTCACTTAAGCCTTATGAAGTGTCTATCGTTTACCTTATTATTTATAAGATAGTGACAAAATGCCCAGGGTCTGATTATTTGTAAGAAGCCTTAGCATGATTTCCCTTTTCATGCTGAGGGATAAATGCAGAAACAAAGGATTGAAATCCCTCAACAGTTTCCTCACCATGTGATGCTGTCAGAGGGTGTGTGTTTGCCTGTGGGAAGTCCTGTGAAGTCTTTGGGATTGGTGTAGTCTCCTTCCTGGGAGCTGAAATGAGACCCCAAAATGGAAATGCCTGTGAAGCTGCTGGCTGTGCTGATCTTGACATCACCTTTGATCAATGGTTTTTACCAGTGTAAAAAGTTAACCCAACTCTGGGTGGTGTGGTGTGTGCTTGGTTTTTTCTGATTGGTTGTTTGTTTGTTTTGTTTTGTTTGGTTTGGTTTTTTGTTTGTTTTGTTGATGTTCTTTTTTCCCCCCCTGCCATGTTTGGATTGTGAGAGAGACAAATGAGAAGTTATAGTGGTGGTTTTTTTTGTTTGGGATTTTGAAGATTTTCTTCAGGCTCCACTTCCACAGTACACAGTCAACTTCTGTGTTTGACAAGGCCCTTCAGCTAAGGCTGTGGTGAAGTTGTGTTTTAGAGATGACTGAACCCCTGATGGGTGTTAAAGGGCAATCTGTGAACATGTTTTGAGGTTAATATTGGTGAGCCAACTGCTCTGTGGAAAAGGGCAATTAATTGTCTCATTTTATGCATTAATTACTTATAGATTTAAGTGCAACTACAACCAACCTGTAGATGCCTTTAATCTCAGTGTAGTTACCGAACAGGGATTTCAAGAATAGCATTTGCATAGTACTGCTACTAGCATAAAAGCATTATATTTTTTACTGTGCTGCCTTTAAGTGTTCTTTTCCTTCGTAACAGGAAGGAGGAAACTTTGTTTTTAGTGTGCGCGTTATACTGACAGTCCACTTACTCAGCTGATGTGCTTTGGACAGGCTGACTCCAAATGCGAAATGTGGAGCTTTTAGTTCAGTTTGCTGCTTGTACTGTGAAAGAGAGGCAATTATTTTGAACCCTGCTGGTGGTACAAGCAAGTTCCAATTATGCACTGTACTAACTTGCTTTCTCTGCTGTTAATTATATTTTTACTTGCTAGTACTTTATGGGAGGAAGCAAATAACACAGGATTTGTTTTGCAAAGACTCTATGCTTCCATAAAGCGATGGTGGGATAATCCTTCGTTGCAAGTTCCACTGTTATAGCAGTGCATGGACTGTTTCATTGCAGTTGTTAAAGAAATACTGTTATCCAGGAAGGATGCATGCAGCGGGAAAGGAAGTTAATTTGGTGGACAAATGCAATTTAAAAATGGAGAGACTTGAGGGGAGCATTAAGGTTTGTATCTGCCTTTTCAGTCCTTGTGACAATAGCCACAAGTGGTACTAATGTAGATACATGTATATCATATAGGAATGATGTATGGCAAGGCCAAGAGCAAGGCTTAGAAGGGCTGTGCAGCTGCCTGCCGAGATCCTGTTTAGCAGGGCAGGTGATCAGAGAACAGCTTTCTAATGTTACATGAGCAATGAACCCCAGCTGCTGGTCTTGCACCAAGAGACGTGGAACATGAACGTGACGTTTTGGAAAAAGTGGGCCCCATGGTTTGATGTCCAGTTATTGCTTTTAGGCTTCACTATAACTAGGATTTCAGTTTCTCTGTCAATTTATGTTAGGTTGCAGCAGTATTACAGCATTGAATAGACCAGTGACTGTTGTTTGCAATGAACGTGTATGTGCAGTTTTTATAATGTAAACCTATGAAGGCTCAGAAGGGGGCTTCCCTGGGAAGAAAACATGAGACTAGTGGCTGCAGGCTCCAATAATTTTGATAGCAGTGCAAATGATGCAGTAGGTAGGCAGGAGGAGAGAGTACCCTCTTGTTTGGGCTTTACATCAGGGTCCCATGAGTCTAGTACTGGCTCAGAATGGGACATAGGGGCTATATAAGGGACCCAGCAGAGCATTGTCTGTAGCAGATTGTCATGGAGTGCTATATACAAGAGCATTTGATCATGAACTGTAACAAACTAGCCGCCGTTGTGTCCTCTTCCTATCTATGTCTTGTGAAGACATAGCTTTTAAAGATGAATAAATGTTAGCTTTTTAAGCTTATTTTTGTCATCATTTGTATTAATTCTGAATCTTTCCAGTATATATGTTTAATTTATTTGATCTTATGTCCTTAAATAAAGAGACACCATAGGTCAGAGTGTTAGAAATCTGGCTAAAATGTTAATTTGCTGCAGGAGAAAAGGATCATCTTAGATTTCAGTGTTCTCAACTGCCATGCTGGAATACTGTTGGCTCCGCTTTAAATATAATGGCTAAAATCGTTAATGCAACTTTAACAATATACTGAAATCAGTCTGGGCATCTCCTGTATTTCTTTGGGTGGAATATAATTTCTTTTTTTGGTAAATTTTGGGCCCACCCTAGGGTGTGCGTTGTTTTCAGATGTGCTTGTTACATGAAGACTCTCAGCACAAAACTTTCTACTGAATCTTTCCTTGGTTGAGGTCAGAAAGCTTGAAACTTGAGTTTGATTAAAACCAAGAAAAATCAAGCACTTGGGTTCATTGATGGACTAGTTAATCTGGTTTGTTTAGCATGGATTTATATGGCCATGAATATTTCTATGAATAACAAAATTTTCCTTGTAAATTCTGATAGTTTGGGGATTTTCTGATGTTTTTGTTATTCATTTTGCCAGAAACAATACATTTTTAACAGAAGTCTGTCATCTTTCAGTTATGGGGAAACAGGGAATGTGTTAAGTAAGTTTTGTGAATAATAGCTAGCCAAATTTTCCTGAATATTAAGAACTTAAGATTTGGTTAGTATATGGAAAATGTTTGGTATGGTATTGGCTGCTTCTCTGTCATTAGTTTGTTTCTATTCATAACCTAAAAAAATGTTTGAAGCTTAAGAATTTTCTACGGATGTTTTAAGTGTTCAGCAGATCTAGTTGTGTGCATTTGGCAACATTTGGAAGGATAGCTCAGCTAATTTTAAGGAATTCTTTGTTTTATTGAGCTCAATAGAAGTTTTTCAACTAAGACTTGAAGCTTAAAACCAAACAGACTGTTTCTGGTCACTCTAGTAGAGCAGGTAACAGTTAAAGGTTGTTTCTGAACAGATTCTGTGGGCTGTGATATATTCGTTGACCTCTGTGTATTGGAGGGTTTGTTGTTGCATGCCGTCCTTCTAGTGACCTACTTGATTGATTTGCTATGTTTAAAGATATTTCCTAGAACAGGAGGTAAATTATTTTTAAGTAAATAAAACTTACCAAGATAATGGAAATGACAGGAAAAAATTAATAAAAGGAAAATATTTATTCTGTTAGAGCTTTCTTCTTTTTCTAGGGAATAATTTCTAGGACAGACAACAGACAATGTCAAGTACCACTTTCAAATCTGGTTATTTGTAAAGTCCTTTCTCTCTAAAACTTGTATGGCCCATTTATATGGGAATAATCATTTAAAAAAAATCCAAAATAACAAGATATGTAAATAAAGTAGAAGTGTAAGACAAATCAAACACCTTTTTAACAAAACTGGATGTATTTTATATACTGTAAATAAAATGAATAAATATAATGACCTGAAAAGGGTTTCTGCTGAAAACAAGCAGCTCAGCAAGAGGACACTTTTGACTCTAAAATGTTAAAAGCGGTTTCGAAGTCACCAGATCATGCTGAGTCTGGGGGAGATGAGTATCAGTGCCCTGTTATCCCAGAATAACAACTTAAGAAATAAAGAGCTTTTATTCAGGGCTTTCTGTCATGAGGACTGCAGAGGGGGAAAAAAAAAAAAAAATCACAGAAATTCGCCTAGTATTTATTTTCTTTTTCTTCCCCCTAAATAAATTGCTCTTTTACTGGCATGAATGAAAAAGGATATATTAGAATACTTTCATTTAAAGTGGGTGGAATTTTAGAGGATGGAAATATATGCAATTCAGGTATACAGCATTATGTAAAAAATTCTATAGCACTATGCATTCCTTTTTTATAGAATTTGCTACTATTAAAATGTAGCAATCTATAATGTAGGATAATAACATCATATTTATAGCAGAATAGAGTATGCATTCATCTTGTCTTGTACCAGATTTAGGTAGCCTTGCTATTTGCAGTGGCTTCAGTGTGAAGGCTTAGATGCATAAGACAAATATGAATGTAAAAAAATCAAGACCTTGAGAAACTCTTATCCAACTGGCACCAGGGTAGTTGTTAGAGCAATGGCAGTTCTGGGGCCTGAAGAAAGCACATATTTACTTCTAAATATTAACTCAGTATTTATTTATTTATTTATTTATAGTATTAGTAAATGGGGAAGTCATTTTGCGTGCTCTTAGGGATTAGAGATGATGGCACGGGGTACGAGGTGTGAGTAGACAGGTGTTGTTCCTCTCTGGAGAATGGTAAGATGGTGACTTGTACGAAGGCGAGGTCTTGGATATGGCTTAGGAGAGAGGGTGGTTCAGAAAGCCTTCTCCTTTTCTGCTGCTATATGAATGAGCATTGTTGCCACTTATTTATTGCATAGTATCTCATCTGTAAACATGGCAATTGCTAGCATGCAGATGTAACACTTGGAAAAGATGCATCAGTTTTAGCTTCTTGATATGCATTTTAGGAGTTGGAATTAACGAGGTAATGGGAACAGCAAGGAGTGTTAAGAGCTAGCCACCAGCCCAAGGTTTACTCCAGGTGCATGGCTTCTCCATTAATCACAGTCTCAGAATATTTTGTACTACAATGAATTAAAATCCTTTCTTTCCCCTCTAAATCTCACTTGCTATTATAAGGTTAATACCTTTCTAAAAGTCAGAAAGTATTAGTCTTGCTGATGCTTAATAATGATGAGACGGGGATGATTAAGAAAAGTCAGTCAGCCAGTCTTCATGCTTTTTGACTTGTAATCATGTTGATGAGCAATGAAGAAATTATTTTTAAAAACCATTGTAGTTTGTGTACTTTTGGTAACACCTGGATGTTCCTGAAGGGTTCTTAGTGGGGTTTGTTACAGTACAAAAGACAGTTGCATGAGTCGTAAACTGTTGTCTGTTAGCATGGATAGCTCCATCAAAGTCTGAGGAGTAGAGTTAGTTTGTACCTGCTGACATCCTGGTTCAGTGTTTGAAAGGCTGTAGAGAAACTTGGTTCAGCTAAAAATAAGTATACTGCTTTCTCATATTTGCTTTTTTAAATTGTGTGTTTGAATTGCAGAAGTCTCATCAAGTTACTTTCATTTATAGTTAAATTATGCAGAAACAAGACTGAGTCAACTGGAAGACTGCCATTGTGAGAAGACTTGTCAAGTAAATGGATTGATCTATAGAGATAAAGACTCATGGGTTGAAGATGATCACTGCAGGAATTGCACATGCAAAGTAAGAATTTCCAAAGAGTTTAAGGACTAGGACCTAACTAAAATGTGAAAATGGTCCTTGAATACATAATGTTAACTCTGAGAATTATTATGTCTTTAGTATGCATCTAGTGGCAGTGTGAATAATAGGGAGGGAAATGGTAAAATAAGTAAACAAAAATTTGGCATTACTTATGTGCAAGCTTCAAAAATAAAATCTGCTTTCCCTTGACAATGTTTTCTTATTTGTTCTAATTATATGTGAGGACTTTATGGTTTTGGGGTGAAAGTATGGCATTGTCCCTGTTTGGTCTGGAATTGTTTTCACTGCAGTAGCTTTTTTCAAAAAGGAAGCATTATCTTAATAGTATTCATAGATGCTTAGTTGCATCTTGCATGATAAAAGCTTGCAGAGTCTGTTTTCAGTGTTTATTACTGAGAAACAGAAGAGAATTAGTATGTAAATCGTGTCTCGTTGAAATTATTTGATAAATATCTGAAGAGAGCCTTTGTTTGCTCAAGAAAATAGAAAACTGATTGTTAAAAATCTCAAAGATGGTTGGCACAACCTACAGAAAGTGGTGCTTATGTTCTTGTAAATATGGGCTTATGTTTTCCACTTAATGTGCTTTACTCAGGGAAAGTGGAGTAAGACCAGTAATATGTATCAAAATGGGGTGCCTCACCTTCAGATGCGTTTTGGTGCAATTGTGTAGTTGAACAGGATTAAACTTGTTACTGAAGGATGGGTCTGTAATCCACAATGCTATTTTCATTTACTTAAATAGTTTTCGGTCTTCTGTGTTTTGTATAAAATACTCACTAATTACAACAGTTGTAGTTGAATTTTGTGTTTAAAAACCTTTGCTTAGAGTGGAGTTGTGGAGTGCCGAAGGATGTCCTGTCCCCCTCTTGATTGTCCTCCTGATGCTCTCCCAGTGCATGTGGAAAGCCAGTGCTGCAAAATATGCAAGGGTAAGTATATCACACAGAGCTTTTAGTTTCACCCTCTATTTAAGCGGAGTTAAACTTGTCCTCAAAGTGGGCACATTTTATAATGACTTTCATAGATCCTGGTAATTTTGGTAATACGAGTCACAGTGGCAAACTTGATTTAAGAAAACAAACAAACAAGCAATTGTTGAAAAATGAACAAGCATTGCAAATTTCTAAGATTCTCTTTTTACCTAAGGTCAGTGTAAAATTATTCATCTACTTGTTTGGGGCTGGGAAGCCTTACTTGGCTTCAGCTTGTAACTCCTGCTGATGCTGAGGAGCATTAAGCCTATGGTCTGAACTTTCTGTAGCAATGAGTAATAAACTGAGCTGTTATCTTTTTTCCCTGTCTTTTATTTTGGATTGGAAGGTTATTCATTAAAATAAACATGACAAAATTTCAGACCCTGGGTTAATATCACTGCGTGGAGTGATAGTTTACTGTAATTAATTTCAAAATAAATTAATGAGAAGAAAGAAAAAAAAAAAGTAAACTTTGTGATCAGTGTTATCATCAGCTTTCAGTTCGTTCTTCTGGAAATGAAAGCTGTAAGTAACATTCCTGGAAGGAATATTCAATATTTGTTGCCTTAATAGTAGTAAAAGGGCAAAACCTATTTATATACAGAGATTTTAGCTGAATACTGATGCCAGTCTTACCTGAAGAAGCACAAATTATCTCCCCCCGCCCCCACCCCGCTTCTTGGAGACTAGTAAACTTCATGCATGAGTTTTTCAAGAATCCATTAAGACATTTTTAAGAATCCATTAAGACTCTTAATTTAAGATTTATTAGCAAAATAGTAACACTTTTTTTAGCATTCTGTCACCCATCTTCAGTCATAGAAGTCATTAGCCCCATGCACAAATGTCCTTTAGCTGTGATCTCTTGCACTTGCTCTTGTTTACTCATGCCATCTCATTTCTCTCAACTGTATGTCAGCATGAGTATTCTGCTTGCTAAAAGATGTTTATGAACAGAGTACTTGAGTGGTAAAGTGGCCATGCTGCCCTGTATTTTTTGTCTCAAAATATTTTTATTTGTAATGTTGGGAGTCTAGAAAGTTCTTTCATGAAGTTGGATGCTTCTCTTGATACTTCTTTGCTGACACACATGTGTGCATAATGGTCAAAATCTGACACAAAGAAACTCTAAGATGCAAAATTTTAGATTCAATGTATATCCCCATGAGTAAACTGTGTTCCTGTTATTTGTAATGGAAAGATGAACAATCAAACTTGCCTTTTGTCAGTGATTGGCACAAACTTGACTCGTTATTCTGACAAGAACTAAACATGTCAGTCAATGCAAAGAGATGTATGGAAGTTGATTGAAATTGATTGTAAATGCCAGCTCCTTGACAGAATGATGTGCTAGGGCCACAATCAGTCACTTCTGGGTAGATAGTAATTGCTGAGGCTTTCCGAAGAGCTGCACTGCAGGTGTTAATTTCTCTGTGCTTTTCCTATTTAGCTGTGATAGAATCATCAGTTGTAATTTGCTGTCTCTAGGGATTATTGAATGGCTGGATTATTGAACAGTTTCCTGTCTTAGCTGAGGGTTAACAAAGTAGCTCTAATGTCTGATATGTTAAGGGTTTTAAAAATGAGGGCATTCTGTTTTGATCCCTGCCATCTTGTGTTAGCCTTTCAACTAATATTTGACAAAAGACTATAATTTTGTTTAAAATCTCATCATTTTTCTGAGTTGTGCATTAACTTGATTTCTAGTTTGACCATTCTTTAGTTAAAAGCAGTCATGTCAGAAGAATAGGCAGAAAGAAAAAGGAAATTTCTCTAATTCATTGTCTCCCCAAAATAGTTGCTGGGATTCCTGATTTAAACAAAGCTTCCTGATCTGAAGGTTTCTTTATAAGAGAGGTCACAACAACTCGGGCATAAAAACTAGGACAGCTTTAGAAAAATGAAGAAAACTAGGATACCAAAGGGAGGAAGCCTGTTTTTTCAATGCATTTTTGATGATGAAAATTCAGTTGTTCTGAAAATCCTGTGCTCTTAATTTTTTTTTTAAAAAGAAATGTGCATTTTCAAGAGTGTAAGTTTTAACAAAAAGTCCGTAGAAGCAAATTTATGTTTGAAGGTTTATGAAAATTGATCTAGTAGTCCTTTATGTTTAAAATTTGGGAATCAAACTGGCTATGACGTGACAGTTGCTGCTGTAGAATACTCCTATTGGAATCACCTGTAAGAGGTACACACATGCACCTGTAAGTGCTTGGCTCCCTTACCTTGGTGTTCAGAAGAGAAATTGAGGGTAAACCAGTTACTGGATAGTCTGTAGCTTTTTTTGAGAAGAGAGTACTTCGAACGCTTCCACTTTCACTGTGCGTGTGCCTTGACTCAGGAAACTGTTACTGTTTTGTTCAATTGCAACATGGGATTTCAGCTCTCGTTTCAGTGTCGTAGATCAGACTGTTACCGATCAAGCACAGAGAAAGCTGAAACACCCCAACAAAAAGTTATCAGTGTTTAGCATTGATCTTGTTAGTAATGTAGAGTGCCTTTATGATGGATACTTGATTTGTGTAAGATCATAATAGTCCAACTGTTCTCTTTAATTAATGGATTTACTGTCCTCCTCTGGAACGGAAATTTAAACGTCTAGTTCCAAGAGGACTGTGATAGGTATGGTAATACTTGACCAAGCTGTACACTGCTGTGGCCCTGCTGAAGGTTACCTACTTCTTCACAGTGGCAGTAGTCCTGAGCTGGTTGGCTTTGCCTTGAAATGAATGAGGAGTGCTCACGAGTTCTAGTCTGTTGATTCAGTTCTGGAGCTGTTTATCTGGTTATCAGAAGGATCAAAACTTCAGACAGGAATTTTTTAGTAGGAGCTTTCAGTTTCCTGAGAAATCTGCTTATTTCATGTGTGCTTTGAGAATCTTTTTCTGAAATAGATTTTTACAGTTTGTTGATTCAGTACAGTCATTTGCTGCATTGAATTCATTTTTGCAGTGTTCTAGCAAGTTGAAGAGTTCACCTTTGTGCCCACAAAAAATGTGAAGGTTTAATTGAAATCTGTGCTTATATTATTCTCTTGATGAACAGTATGCTAATAAGTGTCTCCAGTTCTTGTAGTGAGTCATGAAGACCTCTAGTAACACAAATACTGTGGCTAATCTACCGAATGTCAGAAATGAAAATGTTTTATATTGAATACTGATGAATTTGGTCCAGGATGTAGCATCTGATACTCTTATTCCTTCTCTTTAGTTTGGGTAAAGATGCTACTTGCTTTTAAAATTAATTTATTATTAGCTACTTTGTTTGTAATTCTATATAATACTGACTTCTGATGAAAACAAAATGCATCATATTTTAAAGTATTCATATTTTTTCAGTGTATGTGAATACTGGTTTTACTTTTGTGGTACACCTTGCATTTTCTTACTACTTAAATACTGATTTAATTTATTTAATTTTAATCTCCCTCCTTCTCCTCTCAAACTACAGCAAAGTGTATCTATGGAGGCAAAGTGCTAGCAGAAGGTCAACGAGTATTAACCAAGAGCTGCAGGGAATGTCGAGTAAGTTTCAGCCGTATATGCTTTCCTTGATTTTAAATGTATGTGTGGTGTTCAAAAGTGACAGTGATAAGTTAGTGCATTTCTTTTAGGCTTCCTTCATGCAAATGTGACATCTGTTGTCTTGAAAAGGTGACCTTGAAGTCAGTGAAAGCCACAAATATGAAAACAAGGCAGGAATATGACCCTTGCAGGGTAATAAAAACATGGGCAAAATGACTTGAAGGGATGTTTTCTCTTTTATCTCTGCTTTCATAAGCTCTAGAATAAGGCAGCAGCATCTTGAGCCAGTCACTAATTTCAGCCAAATTGTTGAAATTTGAAGCAACCTGGCTTATATTGTTTGAGTTAGTCTAGATTTTCCCTAGTATTAGTTAAAGTCTATGTAGCCCTGCTAATAATTGAGGTAAATTACTAAGTATTGGACTGGACTGGGGTCTTTCTTGGCAAATTCATAACACTTAGACAACTACAGTCAGTATTTAAGAACACAGGTAAATGGAGGCTGTGTTAGATGGGAACGTTCAGAGAGTGTTAGCGAGTGTAAGAGTACTACGTGGTGTGCAAGTGTGGCAGAAACCAGTTGTTGTCCAGACTAGCCTTCGAAGAAGGAAATAGTAGGTTATTATATAAGGCCCATTGCTCTGCTGCGACATGTATTTGTTGTGAGTATGCATGTGCTTTAAATACAATTTATCACTTCAGAGAGGCATAGCTATTTTAAACACGTTTGCTCTCACATGTAATTTTCAAGCATTTTTGGTTTTACATCTTGTTGACTTTGTAGAGGGGGAAGCGTGATAAAGGGGAGGCTTACAAATGTTATTGACAGATCAGTATGCTAGAACAATTACGAAAAACATTTGGAAAAGATTACAATGATCTGGTTATTGTTGTGCTTATAGCTGAGTGTACAAAGTAGCAATTTTATGTTCACTAATGGAAATGGACAATAACTGGTTGCAGATGTTGTGAAAGCAGACTGTTATGCAGAATTACTTTGCTGCTGTTAGTGTTTAGCTATATAGGGGTGCTCAACATTGTATATACAAATCCATGGGCAAGGTCGTTGCCTTGAAGACAGACTGAGGTGCCTGTTATTTATAATATGACATGGAATGTTTATTTGGGAGGGAAAGTGAGTATATGAAATAAGATGAGAACAGGAGGATTTTCAAGTTAAGATGAAACCAGAGACAGTGATCTGAGTTATGTCTGTGGAACTTCTCTGTGCTATAAATAAGAGCATTGTATTCATTGTTATGAGTGTTGATAATACATTCGTGAAAATTAAAAACAAATACTGACCATCAAATATCTGTCATATTAGAAATTACTAAAATAGTAATGAAAAGAACTTTCACATTTTACGTACTGATATGGCAGTGCTAATTGCAGTAACGTTGAAATGTGTATTATTTACATCTTAATGAAGAGTATTGATAAGTATTTGAAACAACATCTGTGAATGCAATACCGTGGAAAAAATGTGTCCATACCTCAAAAAAAAAAAGAAAATTATTTCCACAGCTATGTTTCAAGAAGGCATTAAACCTCACTGGCAAAGCTTGTCGTTCTGACTTGGGAGAGTTTTTAAGTGGGTGCTTACCTTTGCTTCTATGAGATGATATGTCTCCAGACAGGAATTTCATTCAATTTGTCTTCAGCATGACCTCTTGCTTGCAGACGACACCAAGCTAAGTGGGAGTGTTGATCTGCTGGAGGGTAGGAAGGCTCTCCAGAGGGACCTGGACAGGCTGGATCGATGGACTGAGACCAACGGCATGAGGTTCAACAAGAACAAGTGCTGGGTCCTACATTTTGGCCCCCAAAACCCCATGCAGTGTTACAGGCTGGGGGAAGAGTGGTTAGAAAGTGATCAAGTGGAAAATGACCTGGGGGTGTTGGTCGACAGCTGGCTGAACGTGAGCCAGCAGTGTGCCCAGGTAGCCAAGAAGGTCAGTGGCATCCTGGCTTGTATCAGGAATAGTGTGGCTAGCAGGACTAGGGAAGTGGTCATCTCCCTATACTTGGCACTGATGCACTTCAAGTACTGTGTTCAAGTCTGGGGCCCACACTTCCAGGAAAGACCTTGAGGTGCTGGAGCATGTCCAGAGAAGGGCAACGAAGGTGGTGAAGGGTCTGGAGCACAAGTCTGATGGGGAGCGGCTGAGGGAGCTGGGGATGTTTAACCTGGAAAAAGGAGACTGAGGGGAGACCTTATTGCTCTCTACAACAACCTGAAAGGAGGGGGTAGCGAGGTGGAGGTCAGACTCTTCTCCCAGGCAACTCGTGACAGGACAAGAGGGCACAGTCTGAAACTGCGCACAGGGCAGTTCAGGCTAGAAATGAGGAGGCATTTCTTCACAGAAAGGATCGTTAGGGATTGGAATGGGCTGCCCAAGGAGGCGGTGGGGTCAGCGTCCCTGGAGGTGTTAAGAAAAGACTGGATGTGGCACACAGCGCCATGGTCTAGTTGACATGGTGGTGTTAGGGCAAAGGTTGAACTCGATGATCCCAGAGGTCTTTTCCACCCAAATTGATTATGTGATTCTGTAAGCAAAACACCTACGTATTTACTGCCTTAATTAGGAATGCTCACTAGATGAAGGATGAATGGTGATAAGGCAAACTGTGGTTGTAGTCATTGTTTTCTATCCCGTGTGCCTACTGGTGGACAAGGTCTTGTATGAATAAAGGAAGGGCCTTGTGCTAGAGGAAGGACTATGAAAAATTTAATATGGTTTAATTTTCCATACTTGAAAAAACAGACATCAAGCTTCAAAAGCTGTTGATCCATGAAAGAATACAATGGAGGGTATACATCAACTGTCAATTTGTTAGTGTTGATGAAGATGACTTCAAAAGTGTTGGGAAGTAGCTCTTGTGTCTGTAAAGGAGGATTTATTTGTAGGTGGGATAATGTCAAAAAGATAAAGTTGAAATTTCACATTTCAATTTTTATTTGAAGGTAGATATTTTATTCTTTCCATAGGTACTGATCCAAGCTTAAGAGGCTTTTAACTTTTATATTTTTTCCATCTAACAAAAATAATACTGATGGATCCAGATTGATAAAAATTTTCTTTATCAGGCTATAAGCAGGGTTTTTTTTGTTTGTTTCTGAAAACTAATCCAGACTAAAAATATATTTATGATGCATATCCTCTTAACCATAAGCAGAGATGTTACTGATGGACAGCCATTCCCAGCTGGAATCCTGCCCACAAACACTCTCTAAATTAATCTACAATGACAAAATGACAAAATTAGTGCACAGATGTTGCTAAGAATCACAGAATGATTCAGGTTGGAAAGGACCTCTGGATGTCATCTTGTGGAACTCCCCTGCTTGAGCAGGGCCACCTAGAGCCAGTTGTCCAGGACCACGGAGATGGCTTTTGACTATCTCCGAAGATGGAGGCTCCACAACCTCCCTGTGCCAGTGCTCAATCATCAGTGTTTCCTGATGTTCAGAGGGAACCTCCTGTGTTTCAGTCTGTATGCATTGCCTCTGGTCCCAGCACTGAGCACCACTGAAAAAAGCCTGGCTCTATCCTCTTTGCACCCTCCCTTCAGGTATTTGTATGCATTGATAAGATCCCCCCTGAGCCTTCTCTTCTCTGGGCTGAACAGCCCCAGCTCCCTCAGCCTTTCCTCTTGTGAGAGATGCTCCAGTTCCCTTACCTATTCTCGTGGCCCATGGCTGGTCTCTCTCCAGTTGTTCCACCTCTCTCGTACTGAGGAGGCCACAACTGGACCCAGCACTCCAGGTGTGGCCTCACCAGCACAGAGCAGAGGGGAAGGATCACCTCCCTTGACCTGCTGGCAATACTTTGCCTAATGCAGCCCAAGCTACTGTTAGCCTTTTTTGCTGCAAGGGTACCTGGCTGGCTCATCTTCAAGTTGGTGTCTGGCAGGACCCTCAGGTCCTTTTCCGTAGAACTGCTTTCTAGCAGGGTGTCCCCAGCACACGCTGGGGCATGGGTTTGTTCTTCCCCAAGTGCAGGGCTTTGCACTTCTCCCTGTTAGACTCCTTGAGGTTCCTGTTTGGCTCATTTCTCCAGCCTGTTGAGGTCCCTCTGAAAAATGCAATTGTGTTTGCGCTTTAGTAAATTGCACCTTTCTGCATTCAGTAAGTGGTTGTTTTGGTTTGTGGATTTCACCAATATGGTGATGTGGCTCATTTGAAGTCAATGGAGAGAATTCTATAATTCGTAGAATCATTCAATCATTCGGGCTGGAAGGGACCTTTAGA